CTACTTCATAACTATAATTTTGCTACTGTTATGAATCATAATGTAAATATCTGATATGCAGGATGTATTTAGGCGACCCCTGTGAAAGGGTCATTCGACCCCCAAAGGGGTTGCGACCCACAGGTTGAGAACCGCTGCCTTATAGGGTGTCTCTAAAAATGCACTGAGAGGACACACACGGGCTTAGCACACCACGCCTGGCCGCAGGAAGCTACAAGCACATTTATACTTTCTTGACAAGCTGAATACCTATCAGGTGCCAGGCCCTGTGCCAGGTGATAGGATCCAGTAAATGAGCAAAACAGCCCTATCACACACTCATGGATTTCATAGTCTAGCGTAGCTAATTTCGACAACAGAAAGATCAAAGAAATATCGGTACTTTATTATAACAATAATGGAACTGCATGGCTGGACATAATACTGGATTTAGTACAGCTGTGCATTGAAGAACTGAGTGTCTGAACTTATAACTGGAAGGGAGCTTAGATCTTCCCATTGCCGTCTGGTACCAGGAGCTCTAGAGGCGAGATGATGTCTAAGGGCACAGTTGGGTTTATGTCTGGTCCTGCGCTTGTCCCCCACCACCCCACACCCAGGCCTCGGTGTGGGAAGCACACACAGCTGTTCCGGGGGCCTTCTGCCTACTGTCAGCAGCCTGATTCAGAAACTCTCCTCCAAGTCACAGCCTCACATCACGTGTTTTTTTCCCTTCCAGTTTCCCTTTTATGGTGTTCCTGGCATGGCTGATGAAAATACGGTATGAAAATCATTTTAATATATAGACATAAGTAGCCTTTTTTCTATATTAAAGGTAACAAACTTCAATCCTGATGAAAATGTTAGACAACAGCCTTGGAGGTAAGGGGAGTACAGCCCTCTAAGTGACACTGTTGACTTTAGGATCTCCAGCAGCAGATGGGATGGAGCATTGAGGTTGGTCATGGTGCAGGAGCCCAAACTCTGACCCTTCTGGAGGCGATGGTGCAAGGATTTAACATCCTGATTGACGACTACAAGATGACCGTGCAAGTGCCATTCAACGCCACCGGAGTGAATCGCTACGCGGTGGGTGTGAGTCTTTTTGTGCCCCACCCAGGCACAGACCACTAATTTTATTTTTTTTAATTTTTTTAAATATATTTTATTGATTTTTTTACAGAGAGGAAGGGAGAGAGATAGAGAGTTAGAAACATCGATGAGAGAGAAACATCGATCAGCTGCCTCCTGCACATCTCCTACTGGGGATGTGCCCGCAACCCAGGTACATGCCCTTGACCGGAATCGAACCCGGGACCTTTCAGTCTGCAGGCCGACGCTCTATCCGCTGAGCCAAACCGGTTTCGGCTGACCACTAATTTTAAATCCAAGCATGACCTCAACCGTGTCTTCAAAGTAATTGAGAACACAACTCACTCAACAGGCATCGCAGTCTTACTGTGGGCCACGCACTGCGCTGCGTGCTAAAGACACAGTGGTGAACAGAGATGGCCCTTACTTCCACCCGTTCTCCCTCGTCCCCAGAGATCTCAATCTGCTATCAAATACAGAGCGGGAGTCCACTAAAGTTTCCCAAGAGTTAGGTTCTATTAGTGTTATCGTTCTCCTATACTGTCTTGCAGTAGGGACCCATGCTCTTCGAGCCAACAGGAAAGACTCAGTGTTAAATGAGCTAATGTGTCAAAGGGCTCAAACACCACATTTTAGCAGGAACAGTCCTGTACCATCAGGTTGCTCAGTCTTGTAAGCATTCTCTCTGGATGATGATACCATAAAATAGTCGTAAAATAAGAGCAGCTTTTGCTCAGACCCAGAAATGATCAGCTACAGGCCATCTCAGTAGACAACCCTAGCTTGCCAGATATTAAAAGCACAAACATTTAAAACTAGAGAACCTGGCAGAACAATCATTGTACAAAATGCCTGAATTCTACTTAGGCCAAAATAGTGCCCAGTACTTGAGTATATGCTTGCCTTGATTATTCTTCTAGCGTTGTTTAGAAATTGAATTAAAGCAAAGTCTCTGATGATGTTGTCCCCGACCCCCAGCAAGGTGACAGTCATCTCTACACGGTGCCTCTGAAGCTCATCCATGTAATTTTTGGACAAAAGACCATTATAGCAGCACAAGTGACTTGTCTATCAGGTAAGGTCCAGGGGCCAACTCCAGGGTGGAAGACATTGTTCTGGGGCTTCATCAAAGCTGACATCGACACCTGCCGGTCATGCCCTCCAGGTCCTGTGACCTGCAATGCCACACACATGACTCTCACCATCCCAGAGTTTCCTGGGAAGTTAAAATCCGTGAGCTTTGGAAACAGAGACATTGCCATGAGCCAGCTGCATCGGAACGGCATTGGTACAGAGGCAGCAGGTGGCCTGAGACTGCACTTCAGCAAAGCTCTTCTCAAAATGAAGGTATGTTGCCTTGTCAACCACTGAGTGTGGGAACCTGACCTGAAACATGGTCTCACAGGTAACCCTGACATGGCTGATGACTTGCCCGTACGTTACAATGGCCAGTGTGGCAGTCCAAACTCTGGGAGGCCTCATTTGGTTGCTTTGCATAAGTGAATTCCCCAGTAACTGAAGTTCACTTGCAAACATCAAGCCTTTTGAACCTCCACAATAGAAGCTTACCTCAGTGTTTCTCAGCACATTGAATAGTACAAACTGCTTCCCAGTTTCTAATGATGAGTGTCTTAGGCCCTCTTAACCCAGGACGGCTTGAGCCAAACAGGGTCCCAAACTGCCGTCCTGACTGATCCACGGCCAGGGACACAGGCACGCGGGCAGAGCCCTCTCCGCAGGCTGCTGGCAGGGCACTGGGTTCTCCTTTGGCATTTGACCTGGTAACTCGGCGTCAGTGTCTAGTACAAAGAGCACACAGTGCTGGGCACTTGAGGGCATGAGTTTAAAGCAATGAACGTCCTGTGGAGGGAAGCATCCTGACACAGAAGTGACAGGGTCTCTCGTCCTGGCTTAAAAGGAAACCAAATTAAGTCTGGGGTGCGTGCTGCAGGGATTCCTGCCTCTCCCCCCCCCCCCCCCCCCCCCACACACACACATTGCTCCGGGCCCATGGGATGGTCTCCGGGCCCACACGGTGGTCTCTGATGCTGATTGACATTCTTCTCGTGTTTCAGTTCTCAGAACGGTGCCTGCCCTATCAGTTCTACTTGCCTTCACTCAAGCTGACTTTTTCCTTCCGACGGGAGATAGTATCCATGGTGGTTTACCCCGAGTGTCTCTGTGAGTCCCCAGTTCTTACAGGTAAAGACCTTTGAGCAATGGTCTCCACGTTCTCTGTACCCCCTTACCCCTTCCCGTGCCTGCAGGAAGAACGGGCATGGTTTACACTCTGCACTGCTTACACGTCCAGGAAAGGAAAGGCTGTCAGACCAGAGGTGCCAGACCAGCTGCTAGGGTGGGGCTGCGAGAGGGAGCATTTCCAAATGTGCACTCAGGTAGGCCCAGGAGGATGCTTCACATCAGGAGCCTGAGCCTGTGGCCCAACCTGTAACTAAAGAGATTAGAAAAGTTTAAAGACCTTCCCCGAACTCCTGCCAATTTCTCAAAAAGAGTCCGGGCTGGCTTTCCTCCCATGCAGCATTGCCTGGGCCCTGGGCTGCTGTTACCCACCCCCCACCTAGTCAGGCCAAGCCAGAGAGGGACGATGCGTGCCTCCCCAGCCACCCTGAGTGTGTGAGTCCTGACAGAAGGGACATAGGACACCAGGCACTGCACTTTAAGTCACAAATAACTGGACTCTTAAGTCACGTCAGCCCTCCTCGGGGTTTTCTGTAGATGTCTCGCCCCACATGGCGCTTCCTTCCGTGTCTCCTGCTCCCTCTTCCTTTGGATAAACTCTCTCTGTTCAGACAAAGCAGCTCCACCGTTGCCCAGGACCTTAGGGTCTCCCCTTGTAACTCAAGCCACTTATCAAGGTATTTTTATTTTGAATCTTAAAGGACATTTACTAAAGCTGGGCCAGTAAAACAAGGGAGGGCCTAAGGTCGAAGGAGAGGGACACGGTGGGGATGTGAGACTGGGCTGGGCTTCTCTGGCTCACTAAGAGGTCAGAGAGAAGGGGGCCTTGGGGGGGGGGCGTGCCCAGATGAAGTGCAGCTGCCCTGGTTGCAAGTCTCCTGGGGTCCCCTAGCCTTTGGGAGATGCAGCTTGTTCGGGAAGAGGGAGAGGGGAGGAGGGGAAGGCGCGGGTGTGTGCTCCTGGGAGGGCGAGGGCAGGCCCAGACCGTCCTTCTGAGGGCTTTCCGAGGCGGGGCATTTAGAGGAGGATCTCATAGCACATTTAACAGCTTTGTTGAGGTACCAAAATGAGACTTTTTTCTCTTAACTTCATCTGCCCTTGGGTGTGGTTGGCGAATGGCACTAATTGGATTTCTGCTATCTGTCTCCCTAAGTATTTTCCCCAAAGACTTAAAACACATGGGGTGCCTCCTGGTGAAACCCAGGGGACTCCTCCCTCACACTCCAGGCGCAGGGAGGGCGGCATTGCCTGGCAGACAGACCGCTTACAGGCTCCCAGCATCTCACGGCCACTCTCATTACAGGCGAGCTGTGCACCCAGGACGGGTTCATGGATGTCCAAGTCCACAGCCACCACATGAGCCCAGCTCTCAGCCTGGCCACCCTCAGAGTGGGGGACTCCTCCTGCCGGCCCCTCCTCGCAGCGGCGCCCCGGGGGCTGGCGCGGTTTCGCATCCCCCTGAACGGATGTGGGACGATGCTCAGGGTCAGTGAGCGGACAGCACAGGCCGAGGCTGAGCTGAGCGAGCTGGTGCGCACTCTCCAACCTTCTCTCACCCTAAGGTCCAGGACGGCGAGGTCATCTATGAGAATGAGATCCGCGCTCTCCCGGCCGGGCTTCCTCCACGCGCCGTGTCCAGAGACGGGGAGTTCAGGTGGGACAACTGCCACTTGGTGGTTTCTGCTCCAGCGTTAACTCCGAGCAGCTCTGTTAACCTAACACTCCCCGCGCCCCCCACACCCTCAGAGTGACAGTGAGGTGCCACTACCGCACGGGGGCCGTGC